GGCTGCGCTCATGCCGCCGGTCATGATTTGCACCCCCCCCCTTTTGGACACCCCCCTCTTGGCCGCTCCCGAAGCGGTATCAGTACCTTTTGGTTTCCCCAACAAGGGTTCAGTATTATCGTTTAGCCTATGCCCATCCCTACCGGGCCATGGCATCTCAGCTCCACCATCCCACCACCCCAGTTGGGGATAGGCCCCTCGAAACCCGGAGGGAACGGTCTACGGTCTACACCCCCATCTCGGGGGGTACCAGGCCACGCCAGTGGGGATAGGGATCGCTCAAACGATGCTCGATGGTGTAAACACAGTTTCGGAGCTCCGCGCGGATCTCTTGAATCGGCGCTGGGCCCCCCCCCCCCTGGCGGCCCCTGCGCCGCCGCCGAGCGCCAGGGAGGGGATCCAGCGCCGATCCAAGGAATCCGCGCGGAGCTCCGAAAGCTTGTGTTCATGTAGTTTTTTTCCTTCTTCCATCATCGACGAGACAAAGGACCCTTGCGACGATTTCTCCCAATTCACTTGCAGCCCTCAGAAGAAGGAGGAGCTCATGAGGAGCGGATATCCTAGTGACCTGGCCACTGTCGCGGCGACCACGATGCACGAAGTCGACAGGATTGTAAAATGGGCTGGCCGCCGGGAAATGAGCGACGAGTCCTTGGACCCTGACGCTAATGCCGAGGACTTCTTGGGCAAGACCCTGGCGCCTCTCATGGAGAAGGTTGCCGCTGCCTACGAGCAGTGCACTCTGCCCCTGGACCCGAATCTGGCAGCGGACGAGGCCATTGATTTCTTCAAGGAATTCTTGACGCTTCGCGCATCCCCACCAACCCATCCAGAAACGATGTCAATGAGAGTTGACGGGGGGAGAGGAAAAATGTTCTCCCAATGGCCGAAAAAGGAGCCTCCGACACCTCGCGATCCCTCCCAGAAAACCTCAGGGAGGGGAGGGGGAGGGTTTCCCTCCCCGAAGGGAAGAGGGGTCGTGGAAGAGAAAAGAGGCCCTCCTTAGACCACCTGTCGCCCACAGGGCTGGTGGGATTTATGGACAAGGCTCCCATTCCCAAGGATGCCTCGTCCAGGGAGCCGCTGGACGAGATGGTGGCACGGTCCGGAACTGTCTTCGGCATGGAGGATATTATGGCGCTATTCGGGCAGGAGGTATCTGTCATGCCGTTGGACTCCTGGGTTGGCTTTGTCTCGCCTTTATTCGCGATTGGAATAGGGATGAGCGTGGACGACCCATCGTCCGGACTGAAGCTGCATCTGATTCCGTCGGTCTGCCGGGAGGCTTACGATTTCCAGATCGAGTCGGCGCAATTCAAGATAGCAAATGCGGCAGGGCCTGGGCTGAACTTAGGTGGCTCCCTCGACGATGTCGTAGAGATGTACGTGGACAAGGTTGTGCCCAATTCGGAGGCCTGCATCCCACAGCTGGTGGCGACAATGGGTATCATCCCACTGGAAGCTCTTCCCACAATTTTCCCAGGGACCAAGTTGCAGAACGTGACAATTCTGACTGCTGTGGAACTCATGCAGAGGATGGCGGCCGACGGGCGTAATGTTGGTTTCGACCTGCTCAAGGTACTCGAGCAAATGTACGCACAGGGCGTTGCTCAGGTGCACGTCTACGGTGAGGAATCGATCGAGAGTTGGGCCGATAAGTTGGCCAGCTTCGCGAAGGGCTCCCTGATCAAGGTTTTGGCCCCCGCACTGTTCTCGAACATCGTCACCATCACGGCGAACCACGGAAGCATTGTACCGCCCCAGGCAGGGAAGCCTGCGCGGCAGTGCAAGGATATTATCAAGGGCATGTTTCCGTGGATTATTGGCCGCAAATTCGCGGAGGAGGTCCTTACCACAAACGGGCGGAATGAGGCCGAGGAGACGGCGTGGGAGACCATGGAGGCTTTCTCTGAGAATTTGGACCAGCTCACATGGCTGGACCAGGAGACGAAGAGTGCAGCGAAGCTGAAGCTTAGGCACATACGCGTCAAGATCGGTTGGCCAGCTTGGATCTTCGATGACTCTAACCTTCTCAAGTTCTACAGCTTTGCCCTTGAGTTTGACACTGGCATGAAGTTTGCGGAGATGGTGTGGAGGACGAAGTACCATTTGTTGCAGCGGGCTATCTCCCTCACCGACGTCCCGAAGGATTGGGACAGCTTCTGGATGTACCCCCCAGATCTGATGAACATGATGTACAACCTGCAGGCCAATGATATCATCGGCTACGCGGCATTCCTCCAGAAGCCTTTGTTCGACGAGGACGCCCCTATGTCTTTCAATTTCGGTTTCCTCGGTAGTGTCTACGGTCACGAGCTGTCGCACGGTTTCGACTCCAGTGGTGCCACGAGGGGCCCATGGGGTAATACCAGGGATTGGTGGTCGACCTCAGCCAAGGAGAAGTTTCATCAACAGCAGGCGTGCTTCGTCGATCAGTACTCAAAGTGGCCGCTCTATGGCGACACGCCTCGTGGCACGCTGGACACAAACAGGGTGCTGTACGATAATGGCAAGAAATGCCTTGGCGAGAACATTGCTGACTCTGGTGGCCTCGGTCTGGCTTTTCTGGCCTACAAGAACTGGGTCGCCAGGAACGGTCGGGAGCTGAGGCTCCCGGGACTCGAGAAGTTCAGCCCAGAGCAGCTGTTCTTCATGCGCTACGGCGCCGGCTGGTGCGACGTGGCCGACTTCGCGAAGCTGAATCACACAGTCAACTCCTCAGATCCGCACTCGGTGGCCCGGATGCGCAGCGTCGGCGCCGTGCAGAACAGCAGAGCGTTTGGCCGGGTGTTCGGGTGCGAGGTTCAAGGGAGGAAAAACCACCAGGACCGGACAATTGGCGTTTACTAAACGGCCCTGGGCGTTTACTAAGCAGCCCCGCCCTGTTCGATTCCGTCTCTGGGCGCCTTTACTAAACGACTTCGCGTGTCGTTTTTTTTTTTTTTTGATTTTTGGAGGTGGGCGCGAGGATGAACCCGCCGGTTCCGCAGAAGTGCGAGCTCTGGGGCATCGACGCGAGCGACCCCCTCCAGCCTGGGACGCCCGCACGGACGCCGGCGCCGCCCAGCGAGGACGGTGACATCTGGGCCTCCCAGAGATGGGGTCGGGGCAGATTGCAGTGGGGCCCGTCCCTCGACAGGAGGCATCTTCCCAAAGAGTCCAAAAATAGTCAGGGGACGATGTTTTGAACATTTTTTGGCCATGTTCGCGTATGCTTCGAGTCTTGTTTTTTATTTTTGGCCCAAAATCCGCCTGTAGGGGGACACGCCCGCCCGACCTGAGAGTGGATGAGGTCGGAGGATCGCGCCGCATCGACGATGCATCGGCGATGCGGCTCGATGTGGGGCCCGATTTCCTCCACGCCGACGTCGCCGGTGCATCACCGACGTCGCCGGTGCATCACCGACGTCGCCGGTGCATCGCCGATGCATCGCCGATACATCGCCGATGCATCGGCGATACTTCTCCGACCACATCTACTCTGACCCCATCTGGGAGGCCTCTAGATGAGGAGCACAAGCCCACGCCAGCGCCAGTGAAGCAGGCTTACGACGGGAAGTACGTCTTGGACTCTGGCCAGGGCGGGCCGGAGAGCCTCCAGCCGACGATCACGATCCATCAGGGCCGCTGGAGCGGCCAGCTGCTGCCGACGGGGGTCGAAGACTAGGGGGCCACACCACCCCTACCCCACACGGTTGCTGAGGGGGGGGGTGGGCTTCGCTTCGCTCGGGAGCTCCCGAGCGAAGTGAACCCCACACTCCCCCTCAGAAGTCGTGGGGGGCATGGGGCAGGGCTCGCATGTGGCCCCCTGAAGACGGCGTGGTGAAGTTCTTCGAGGAGACCCTCATCCGCCCTGGGCGGCGGAGGTTGCGGATGTCCAAGGGCCGGCTCTTCGAGGGCGACGGGGCCACGCTCGTGGGCGAGATGGACTTCTCGTCTCGGTACGGCAAGGCGGTGCTCAAGCACGGGCACAAGGCTTCCAGGGGCAACAGAAGAGAGGGACAGGCTCAGGGGGAGGGGGGGGGGGCGCATCGACCCCAAATCGCCCACCGATCGCCGACAGGGGCTCGATAGCCCCACCCCGCCCAGGAACGTGCGGTTTTTCGCTGTCGGGGGCCTGGCGCCGATCTCTCGGCGGTGTACCGCCGATTCCAGGTCGGTGCTTCCCCTCCTGGGGCCAGTCCCCCCCCCCTCCGAACGTTACCTCGCGAAGGTGCTCACCTATGTCGCCCACAGGGTGCCGGAGGGGTGACGCGCGCCGTGCGCACGCTGATCGGCGGCGAGCGAGGGGGGGAAGTGAGAAGGAGGAGGCCTTCTCAGAAGGCGGCGGGACTTGTCAGAAGCCCTCGCGCCTTCTGAGAAGTGTTCGGTGTCTCCGGGGAAGGCTTAGAAGACTTGTCCGAAGGCCAGGAATCTTTCGAGCCTTCTGAGAAGGCCCTCTTCTTCTCAGCTCCTCCTACTCCTATTCCTACTCCTCCTCCTCCTCCTCCTCCTCCTCCTCCTCCTGAGAAGGCCGCTAAGTCTCAGTTACCCCCCCCTGCGCTGCGCAGCCGGGCTGCGCTGCGCAGCCGACGGGCGGAACGCGGGGTCGCGCGGTTGGCCCGGCCGCGGGCGGGGCGAGCGAGGGCGGCCCGCGCGCTCCTTTTTTGCTGGGCGCGGCGTGGTCGTGTGCTTTTTTTTCTTTTTTTTTTTTTTTTTTTTTTTGTTTTTTTTTCTTACGGCCTATTCATTCTCCCTGCGGCGGGCGCACCTCCTTCCTTCCGACTCCCTCAATCCTCCTCCACCTCCTCATCCTTCCCTCCTCCTCCTCCTCATCCTCCACCTCATCCTTCTTGACGTTGCGCAAACATCGAGGACCTCCTTCCTCATCCTCTCCTTCCTCCTCCAACTCCTCATCATCTCCTCCTCCTCCTCCCTATTCCACCTCATCCTTCTTGACGTTGCGCAAACTCGAGACCTCCTCCTCCTCCTCCTCCTCCTCCTCCTCCTCCTCCTCCTCCTCTGCCTTCAGCACTCGACAGCTTTTCCCGGTAAGGGCTCTAGCCCAGAGTTCTCTTTTAGTCTGCGGCCCACGGGTCTTCCACCAGAGGCGTAATTATCGAGCAGCGGCGCCAGAATTGGTCACGTAAAAATATCTGTGCGGAGGGGGAGGATCTCCAACATGAGTCCGGCTCGTTTTTTATATATGTTTCTGGCCTGGACGGCGGCGCAGGCGAGGGACGCAACTTAACCCGCCAGATTTTCTACATGCAGGATTGCGTGCGCGGAGGGGAGGGCCGACATGCGCCTGGCGCCTGCAGGCGGGGCGCGCATTTTCACGTGCCCACGGCCCCCAGCGAGAGCATGCGCCTGGCGCGTGCGCGCGCGGCATGTACTTCATTTATCCGCAGCCCCCTAGGGGGGACAAACTTCATAGCGCGCCTGATTCTGTACATATGAGAATGCGTGCGCACAAGGGACGGATCAACATGCACCTGGCGCGTGCGCGCGATGCACGGATTTTCGCGTGTCCACAGCCTCGATGCGGATACGTGCGCGGAGGGGAGGGGCACAACATGTGCCTGGCGCGTGCGCGCGGGCCACGTAGTTTCACGTGTCCACGGCCCCCAGCGAGGGACCCAAGCCCGCCAGATTCTTTACACGTGAAAATACGTGCGCGGAGGGGGAGACCAGTATGTGCTTGGCGCGTGCGCGAGGGGCGCGTATTTTCACACGTCCACGGCCCCCAGGGGATACCCCGCTTGGGCTCGCCGCTTTCGCGTGAAAGTGCATGCGCGGAGGGGGGGGGCAACATGCGCCTGGCGCGTGTGCACAGGACACGACACGCATTTTTACGTGTCCACGGTCCGCCTGGGAATACGTGCGCGGAGGGGGGGCCCAACATGCGCTTGGCGCGTGCGCGCGCGGCATGTATTTTCACGTGTCCACGGCAACCAGTGCGCAGAGGGGGCGGACCCAACATGTGGCTGGCGCGTGTGCGCGGGGCACGTCGTTTCACGTGTCCACGGCTCCCAGGGGACCCCACTTGGGCGCGTCGGATTCTTTATAAGTGAAAATGCATGCACCCAAGACCCAACCTGGGCGCGTCGGATTACAGACGCATGAACCTATGTGCGCGGAGGGGGGCCCAACATGCGCATGGCGCGTGCGCGCGGTGTTTGTATTTTTACGTGTGCATGGCTCCTAGGTTGGGACTCGGGCGCGTCGGATTCCTTACGCGTATACATATAACGGCGCACCGGGTCCGGGGGCCCGGGGCCGGGACCCCGGGGCCCACAAATGTGGGCCCCGGGGGCCCGGAGGCTCATCGGACCGCCGGACGCCGTCCAAGATCGTTCGCAGGACGAGCTTTATTTTTTTTTTTTTTGTATTTTCGTTTTTTTTTTTTTTTTTTTTTTTTTTTTTTTTTTCGGAACGCGCTCCGATGGCTCCAGATGCCTTCCAAGACGCCTGTCATGACACCAAGAAGGTCCAGAAGCCTCCAAGACGCTCCGAGAGGCAGCCCAAGAGAGGCCCAAGAAGCAAAAATCGTGCCATTCCTATGGGAAAACGTCTATTTTTCGCATGTTCGCCTCTTGGGCTTTCGCCGCGTCCAAGACGGCCCAAGAGGCGCCCAAGACGGTCTACGAGGCCTCCGGGAGCGCTCCAAGGCTGCGCACGAGTGGCCCAGGACGGCCCCAAGGCGGCCCAAGAGAGCCCCAAGACGAGTTCGAGAAGGGTCCCAGACGGAGAAAGCCAACCTCGAATTCCGAGCTTCCGGCCCAAGAGGCTCCAGGAGGCGCCCAAAATAGCCGAAACGAGGCGCCCAAAAGGCTTTTTTTCTTTTTTTTTTTCTTTTTTTTCATTCTTTCCTTTTTTCTTCCCTTATTTGTCCTTTCCCACAAGACCCCAAAAATACAAAAAAAAAAAAAATAAGAAAAAAAAAAAGGAATAATAATGAAAAAAAGACTTTAAAAAAAAGACGTTCCGAGAGGCACCCAAGAGAGGTCCAAGAAACAAAAATCGTGCCATTCCTATGAGAAAACGTATATTTTTCGCATGTTCGCATCTTGGGCTTTCACCGCGTCCAAGACGGCCCAAGAGGCCTCCAAGACGGCCTAGGAGGCCTCCGGGAGCGCTCCAAGGCTGCGCACGAGTGGCTCAGGACGGCCCCAAGACGGCCCAAGAGAACCCCAAGACGACTTCGAGAGGGGTCCCAGAAAGAGAAAGCCACTCTCGAATTCCGAGCTTTCGGCCCAACATATCCCAGGAGGCGCCAAAACGCCGCCCAGAGGCGCCAAAAGGCATTGATTTTCACTTTTATTGTTTATTCCTCAGTATTTTTGTTGTTCTTTTTTCTTTTCTATTCTCATTATTTTTATTTTTGTTCTGTTAATTTTTCATTTTTGTTTTAAATTTTATGTTTTTTTTTATTTTCCTTTATGCTTTTTTTCATCTTTCTTCCAAAATCAGCCCAAGACGTTCCGAGAGGCACCCCAAGAGAGTTCCAAGAAGCAAAAATGGTTTCATTTCTATGGGAAACGTATACTTTTCGCATGGTCGCCTGTTGGGTTTTCACCGCGTCCAACACGTCCGAAGAGGCTCCCAAGACGGCCTAGGTGGCCCCCAAGAGAGTTCCAAGACGGTTCACGAGGCGCCCAGGACGGCAAAATTGGACTCCAAACTGGCCTAAGAGAGCCCCAAGGCGTGCCCGAGAGGGGTCCCAGAGGGAGAAAGCCACTGTAGAATTCCGAGCTTTCGGCCCCAAGAGGCTCCAGGAGGCGCCAAGAGAGCACCAAGAAGCCCCCACGAGAGACCCAGGACGCCCCAAGAGGCTCCAAAGGCGGCCCAAGAGAGCCCCAAGATGGGCCCGAGAGGGGTTCCACGCAAGTTGTTATTGTATCGCTCGGGAAAGGACGAGGATGAGGAGGAAGACGAGGAGGAGGAGGAGGAGGAGGAGGAGGAGGAGGAGGAGGAGGAGGAGGATTCCTGGGTCTGTGACTCGACAGAACCTAAGCGCGCGCGAAGCGCGCGCGTGGTTCTAGTGAAGATATGTGCGCGGAAGGGGGCCAATTTGCGCCTCGCGCGTGCGCGCGAGGCACGTATTTTCACTTTGACGGTCCACGGCCCCCAGGGGGGCGACCCGACTTGCGGGCGGGGGGGCCCAACATGCGCCTGGCGCGTGCGCGCGCGGCATGTATTTTCACGTGTCCACGGCAACCGGTGCGCAGAGGGGGCGGACCCAACATGTGGCTGGCGCGTGTGCGCGGGGCACGTCGTTTCACGTGTCCACGGCTCCCTGGGGACCCCACTTGGGCGCGTCGGATTCTTTATAAGTGAAAATGCGTGCACCCAAGACCCAACTTGGGAGCGTCGGATTACAGACGCATGAACCTATGTGCGCGGAGGGGGGCCCAACATGCGCATGGCGCGTGCGCGCGGTGTTTGTATTTTTACGTGTGCATGGCTCCTAGGTTGGGACTCGGGCGCGTCGGATTCCTTACGCGTGAAGATATGTGCGCGGAAGGGGGCCAATTTGCGCCTCGCGCGTGCGCGCGAGGCACGTATTTTCACTTCGACGGTCCACGGCCCCCAGGGGGGCGACCCGACTTGCGGGCGGGGGGGCCCAACATGCGCCTGGCGCGTGCGCGGGGGCCACGTATTTTCACGTGTCCGCGGCTCCCAGGGGGGACCCATTTTGGGTCCGCCATATTCTTCACACGTGAAAGTACATGCGCGGAGAGGGCGGACCCAACATGCGCCTGGCGCGTGCGCGCGGGACACGTATTTTCACGTGTCCACGGCCTTCGGGGGGGACCCAACTTAGTCGCGTCGGATTCTTCACACGTGCACAGGCACCGCCGTGCAGGAGGGAGATAACGATGGGGTGAAGGAATGTGGTGGCAGGAATATGATGACGAGGAGGAGGAGGAGGAGGAGGAGGAAGGAGTAAGGAGGAAGGAGGAAGGAGGAGGAAGGAGGAGAAAGGAGGAAGAAGGAGGAGGAGGAGGATCAGCAGGACCTGCAGGAGGTAGTTGTTGCAGAGGATAACATTGGGCTCGAGTTTCTTGCCGGGTTCGCGGATTCCTCAAGTGTCCAGGGTCCGGCGATAGCCCGGGTTATCGCCCCCCCCCATTCGCAGTAGCCTGGCGTGGTCGGTTGCGCAGGTCCGAACGAAGGGGGCGGTGCGCAGCACTGGTGCGCGCGGGCAGACGTGAGGCTGCCAGGAGCGAAAAGGTCAGGCTGTCGGCCGGCACCTCCCACCAAGGGGATCACCCGGGTCATTACCGAAACATGAGGCGGTCTCTTCGCGATCTGACAGCTAGCACTCATGCCTATGCGACCCCTAAGACCTCTCGGGGTGTAATTCCGCGGGGGCTGTAGGTGTGTTGTCGGATGGGGTTCCCCGCGGGAGCCCCCCCCCTTTGGGGTCCGACAGTCCGCACCTAGACCTATAGCGCCTTCCTTCCCTTGCCCGTCCCCCTTTCTCCTCCTCCTCATAGATTTGAGCGTGTGCTGTTCTTCCGTCACGTACCTCTTCCTATGAAACGAAGTAGGGGGGGGGGCGTGAGGTCTCGATCCCTCCTGAGACGAAGCCAGGATCGGAACAGCATCGGATCGGGATACATCGGGGGCCCTTCATGTCAGGTGGTTCTGCAGGATGTGCCGGCATCGGGCGCCGCGGCAGCTCCAGGGCGCTCCACAGCGCCCCGAGAGAGTTCCGGAACGCTCTGGAACAGATCACCCTGGTCCTGGGCCGGCCCGACCAGGAGGGCGCCTCACCTCGGGCGCCGTGTGTGTGGGATGCCCACGACGGCCAGGGTCCAGAGCCAGGGGGCCCCCGCCTGCTGTCAAACCTACGTCCCGTACGACTGCTCTGGCAGCGACGGGCTCTCGAGCCCAGGGGGGGCCCGACGGCCCCGGAAGGCGGCAGCGGGTGCTCGTGCCAGGGAGGGAAGACGGGGGGGGGCCTAAAATGGTCCGTCTGGGAGGTTTATGACCCCCCCCTTTATTATAAAAG